TTTAATTGAAGAAAGTGAAAAATGTTTTACAAAAAATGTAATATACAGGGAAATTTTGTAAATTGAAGAATTATGAAATTGTATGAGAGCTAATAATAGCGGGTTAGCGGTGGGTACATTAGAAATAAAAAATAATTGAGTAAAATGTAAAAAAGGATATAATAATTAAGTAATAAAAAAAATATTTAAAGTATATATTAACCAAAATAAATGTTTAAATTTTTTATGGATGACTACTATGTTATCTATTTCTTTCTCCCAGATATTTTATACATAACATTTTGACAAACAACAAATGTGGAAGTAGTTCGCGGTAATACAAAAAAAGAATTAATTTGTTGTGTTAAAACGGATTTAATATAGGCTATATGAGGACCGCGCGGAGCGCGGTCCGAATAGAATGGCTTTGAGGACCGCGCGAAGCGCGGTCCGAAAATATAATATAACTAATATATTACAACAAAGTAGTTTAACAAATAAAATTATATATCGATGTGTACTTACACATCGATATACGTAAATTTTTTTTAAAAGAATTCTGTTGCAGAATGTAGCTCAAAAATAGAAATAATTTTATGACATTTTAATTTATTAATTTCCGTTTCTGTCAGCCTTATATATTCTCACGACGAAAATCAAATACGAGAAAGATATGTCACATAGCGGTAAATGAAAGAACCAACATGTTTAGAGTGAGGTGGAACGAACACCAGAATATTATAAAGAATAAAGAAATGTTCAAAATATACTGTTCACAAAAAGTGTTTAATGAAATAAAACAAAGCACAAAAAAAGAATATATATATATATGTAAAGTAATTAGACACAAAAAAAAATAGAAAGTAATTGATGCAGTAAATTCTTATTAACTGCACGTTGCAGCGGTGCGATATTGGCGAGAATACTAACAAGGGACATGTCACAACTGTCCGGAACCGATTTGATTCTCCTTGAAATATGTTGTTAAATACACAAATCTAAAAGACACGTATTTTTTTATACGTGCGCAATTTGAGTTTTAAGGGGTGAAACACCCCTTTAAAGAATAACGGTATTTTTCTTTAGGATCAAATATCTGCTAAACTATAAGAGATATAAAGAAAAAACGTACAACAAATTTTAATGGCTTGAAGAGTACTTTAAAGTTATATGAACAAAAATTTTTTTTTTTTTTTTTTTTTTTAAAAAACCCTCACCACCTAATTTTTTTTTTCAAAATTAAAAATTTTGTTTTACCTAATTTAAAGCTTATTTTTTTCCAAATTCAACCATGTGTAATAAAGTTATGTTACGAAATATCATTTTCGAAAATTAATTATAAACGCTCCCGTATATACGCTCATCCGTGCTATGTGCGTAAGTAATTACCGTCGAACAATAAAATATATAAAAAATGTTTTTGTATAATTCTTATTTATGTTTTCTATGTATTTATAACTGTGTATTGTGTATATTTAGATTTTTTAAAAATGTATTTGCATTTTATATTATTCACTCATTATACACATTACAATAATGATATTCGACAAAAAAATGTTTCAAACATAATGACTTCTTGCACCAAGAACATCTTACTACAGCTATATTATTGCAACCTTCGATATCACATTTTGTTAAAGTTTCGTCTAAACTAAAGTGTACTGGATTTTCGAATTCGTCTGGTCTTTCATTCGTATAACCACTTTTAAACCACGAATATTTAAATAAGTTTTGATATCGTGGGGATGACAATTGATTATGTATCAAAGATTGCAATTTTATTATATTATTTCGTTCATGTAAGTTTATATTACTTTCCAACAGTAAAACCGCATCTGAAAATCTTTTAGCAAAATTTTTCCAAATTCTGAATCCATAAACATCTAATGGTTGTATTTTCCCTGTAGTTCCTTTCGGTATTATCATAGTAGTAATATGTGTTCCAGGAGGTGTTAAATCCGAAATCATATTGGGGCAATGTCCAGTCCATGAATCGATAAGAAGAACGCTATTAGGACCAATGTTTGCGAAATAAGCTTCTTCTAACCACATTTTAAAATGATCTGTACAAAATATAAATGTTAATTTAATAGTTTTTTTATGACTCTTATTAAATTGTTAAATAAAATAAGGTTGTTAAAAAAAGTAATTATAAAAGGAAAATACCTGATGTCATTTTACCAGATTTCGATGCTTTTACAATAACATTTTCTGCTTTAAATAAATTTTCTTGTACTCTTGGTCCAAATTTACCATTAGCTTCTTTTAATACAATAAATAAAGGGGACAACAAATTGCCATTACAGGATATTATTGGTTGTATCGTATATGAATGGGTTGTTGATGATATGGATTGCACGACACGTTCTACTTTCTTTTCTCCCTGGTTAGACAATGATCTTCCAGAGTGAAGTTCCAATTGGAAACCACTTTGATCTGAATTGTAAATATTTTCAGATCCAAACTGTTCAATAAGAGGTTTTACTGTTTCCAGAAAATCATCAGCTGATTTTTGCAAATCAGCAGAATCTTCTAATGTTCTTCTAGTGACAAACTTCGTAACTTTTCTTGAAACAATTCGGTGAGACTTCTTAAATCTTGCTATCCAACTGTGAGATGCTTTAAATATAGGATTTAAATTTCCTATTTCTTCTTGAGCTTGTAAAGCCCATCTTTTTAAATCAATATCATGAACCATGAATCCTGATTCGACAGCTGCAGTAAATTTATCATGTGTAAATTTGGAGATGTAAGATAATTTTTCTGTACGACTTCCACCTGATTGTATTTGTTCTTCCCATCGCCTTAACTGACGTTCAGATGAAACTCTTCTAAATTTATTTTGTACTACTCTTAGAGGACGATTCCTTTTTCTGTCATTACTGTTTTCATCAGTGTCCCGAAATCGCCAATACTCAACAGCTCGTCTTTTATAAGAACTATCAAAATTTGTATCATCATTTGAACAATGAGGATGAGAATTTAAACTATCTTCATGCCATGCTTCTTCGTCATCTTCAATTATTTCAAAACTATGTAATTTATAAGGTTCTTCATAATCGAGATATATTTCTTCCGTTACTTCCACCCCATTATAATGAAAAACGCTATCCAGTAATATTTTTTTAATGTTTTCCTTTAATTCCACTTCTGCTTCAGTTACTGGCGTTTCTGTTAAATATATTGAATTTATTGACACCAATAAAAGTCTAACAACGTTAAGCGGATTGATAATCATATTCAAAGATGTTATATTTTGCTTTCTATTGCAATAAAAGAACAGTTTACACAGATATTATTACAACGAAAAGACTACACCGACTGTGAGAATTATGCTGCTACATGAACAATTTATATTAACTTATCAGAAATACGTCATCACATAATCTTATTTTATTATTTATTTTAACGTATTAAAGATTTTATTGTAAAAATTATAACTTATCTGGAACACGTACACATAATCTTATCTTATGATTCATTTAACGTAAGATATAAAATTTGTTTATGCCAAATATTGCGACATTGGTATTCGCAAGATTCAATTAAAAAATAATTTTATTATAAAATATAATTGTTTTTAATTTTTATAGAAGAAATTAAATATTAAAGAAATAATAAGAAAGCAGGGGGTATATTTAAAAAATTCTTATTAATTATATTTAAAAATTTTTTTTTAAATCTAAATATACACAATACGCAGTTATAAATACATAGAAAACATAAATAAGAATTATACAAAAACATTTTTTATATATTTTATTGTTCGACGGTAATTACTTACGCACATAGCACGGATGAGCGTATATACGGGAGCGTTTATAATTAATTTTCGAAAATGATATTTCGTAACATAACTTTATTACACATGGTTGAATTTGGAAAAAAATAAGCTTTAAATTAGGTAAAACAAAATTTTTAATTTTGAAAAAAAAAATTAGGTGGTGAGGGTTTTTTAAAAAAAAAAAAAAAAAAAAAATTTTTGTTCATATAACTTTAAAGTACTCTTCAAGCCATTAAAATTTGTTGTACGTTTTTTCTTTATATCTCTTATAGTTTAGCAGATATTTGATCCTAAAGAAAAATACCGTTATTCTTTAAAGGGGTGTTTCACCCCTTAAAACTCAAATTGCGCACGTATAAAAAAATACGTGTCTTTTAGATTTGTGTATTTAACAACATATTTCAAGGAGAATCAAATCGGTTCCGGACAGTTGTGACATGTCCCTTGTAAGTGCAATTTTGGCGCGAACTCGAAGCTATATTTTTGGCACGACTCGAAGCTGCGGCGTACTTAGAGGCACTGAGGGTGCGACTTCAAGAGCGTGGTGTGTCTTTAGGTTTCGGCGGACCTTGGGAGAAAAAAAAGAAAAACACGTCAGTTCTCTCGGGGGAAAATAATGGTCTCTCTCGATTTCGCTCGGCGATGTTGTTAGGCGGCAACGATGCCCTTGGTCGAAGACAAGAGGCGCGTTTTGTTATGATTCGCAAATTTATTTTTCGCCGCTGTTTGGCTCTCGACAGATTTGCAGAGTTTGACCATCTCGCAAAAACACAAACAGCGCGCGGACTGCGTGATCATTTCCGCAACATTTTCCGCCCGCCTCGTTAGTCGCATCTAACGATAAATGCTCGCGATTCGCCCAGTCTGGTCGGCCGCTGCCAACAGGGTTTTGCAACGCTTTGCGTCTTGATAACGAGCATAGGACCGGTCCTGCTGGTTGAAAATTGTAAACGAACGACCGGCATTATTTTGATGTTAAGTGGCGCGTTGTCTGTGACGAGTGACCCTGTGACGACAATCTTCCGAGCTCGGGTCCGCGAGGCCTCTGCAGCGCTGACGACGTGCGGGGGTGCACGCCATTGCGGCAGGCCCCCTGCAAGCACTGCGCGGTAAAGCTCGCGGGCCGCAGGTAAGCTCTTGCAGAGCAACGTGAAGTCAAAGGGCAACTTGACTGGCATCGCCTGCTCATGTGGTATTGAATGTCGAGGTAAGTCATGTCGCGGCCCGGTCGTCTCGGCTACTCATCAGCTGGTTGGTCCTCAGGTTCCGTGTCTGCCCTCGGCAGGAGGATGACCTTGACCACCGGTCTGGCCAACGTCGTCGTGGCTGTCCGCAAGCTGACCACGCGCACCTGTCCATCAGCACCAGGATGAACCTCGGTGATTCGAGCCAACGGCCACCTGCTCGGCGGAAAGTTCTCTCCGCGGATAAGACACAGGTCGCCAACGGTCGGGTTGATGTTTTTCCTCCACCATTTCACACGCGAGGTGAGTGACTGCAGGTATTCCTTGGACCACCGTGACCAGAAGTCATCCCTCATTCGTTGTAGCAGCTGCCACCGCGTGAGCCTGTTGAGAGGCTCCGATGTCAGCGACGGCTCAGGCAGCGATGTCAAAGCGGCTCCAATCAAGAAATGGCCTGGCGTCAAGGCCGAGACGTCCTCCGGGTCATCCGATATGGCCTGCAAAGGACGAGAGTTGAGGCATGCCTCAATCTGTGCAAGAACAGTGCTTAGCTCCTCGAAGGTGAGTGTTGATTCTCCTATAACTCTCCTGAGGTGGTGTTTGATCGACTTTACGGCTGCTTCCCACAGGCCGCCAAAGTGGGGTGCAGCCGGAGGGTTGAACCGCCACTCCACCCCTTCGGAGGCAAGGATGTCGGCGATGCGCGGGCTTTCGCGCACAGCCTCCTGGAACATCGCTCGAAGCTGGGCATCAGCACCGACAAAATTGGTCCCCCGATCGCTGTACAGCGTGCGGCACATTCCGCGGCGTGAGACAAAGCGCCGGAAAGCCGCTAGGAAGGCATCCGTGGCATAACTGGACACCAGCTCGATGTGCACAGCCCTTGTTGCAAAGCACACAAAGATGGCCAAAAAGGCCTTGTGCGCCTTGTGTCCTCGACCTGCTGCTGTCCGAACCTGGACCGGGCCCGCATAGTCGACTCCCGCTTGGCTGAAGGGACGCGATGCTGTTACCCGCGGCGGTGGTAGTTGTCCCATCATAGGATTCGGGGACGCCGCCCGCCATCGCAAGCAAGTGACGCAGCGATGAATGTGGCGTCGAACCTCCAGGCGTCCTCCCGGAATCCAGTATCCTTGCCTGACCATCCCCAGAGTCAGCTGCACTCCGCCGTGCATGGCTCGGCGGTGGCACTCCCGAATCACCAGGACGGCGAAGTGCGACCTCCTGGGGAGGATGATCGGGTGCCTTTCATCCGGGTTCAAAACAGCGTGTTTGAGCCGACCACCGACTCTGATGACGCCATTCCTGTCCACGAATGGATCCAGCCTAGCGAGGACGCTTCTTCGCGGGACTGCCACGCCCCTTGACAGCGCTCGCCGCTCTTCCGCGAATTCCCAGGACTGCACATGACGGATCCAGCGAAGTCGGGCCGCCTCGAGTTCCTGAGGCGACAGCGCGGACATCGGGGTGTATGGAACGCGCCGCTCGCCGAGCCAACGGCAGCACCACGCAGTTACCCTCAGCAGCCGCTGCAGCACTGAGAATCGTCGCAGCATTGGACATTCCTCGGCTGATTGGACCGCTGCAAGATGCACCTGACGCCTCTCCTCCTGCGGGTCACCCATCGGCAGCGGCGTGCTCGCAGGAAGCGTGGCGTCTCCAGACAGCCAGGGCGGCCCGCTCCACCACAGCCCATGATCCGGCAGGTCGCTGGGAGACAAGCCTCGTGACGCGCAGTCTGCTGGGTTCTCTGCTCCGGACACATGATGCCATTGGGCGTTGGGGAGCCTTCGCTGGATGTCGGCGACCCTGTTGGCCACATAAGTTTTCCAGCGCGACGGGTGACTCTGAATCCACGCCAGCGTCACTGTGGAGTCCGACCAGAGGTGAAGAGGAGCGGACGCGATGTCCATGACCTTGACGACGTGCGCTGTCAGCTTGGCAAGAAGCGCCGCCGCGCACAACTCGAGCCTTGGCAGCGAGACCGGCTGCGCAGGGGCCACCTTGGTTTTCGCCTGCAACAAGAAAACACGGCGCTCGCCCTCCACTCCTCTGGTGCGGAGGTACACCACCGCAGCGTATGCTCGCTCGGAGGCGTCTGCGAAGCCGTGCACCTCCAGGTCACTGTTTGATCCCTTGCACTGTGTCCAACGAGGCACGTGCACGCTCTCCAGAGCGGGGAGCTCGTCGCGAAAAGTTCTCCAAGTCCGCTCTTCCGTCGGGGGGACAGGCTGATCCCAGTCCAGATGCTGCAGCCACATCGTCTGAATGAGAATTTTCGCCTTGATGATCACCGGCGACAGCCAGCCCATGGGATCGAATAAGCGAGCCACTTGCGAAAGTACCACTCGCTTCGTCACTCGCTGGCTGCTCAGTTGCTGTACCCTGAAGGCAAAACAATCCTGGCGAGGATGCCAGCGGAGGCCGAGCGCGGAGTGTCCCTTGTCGCTCTCCCACTCACGCAGGTCTCGCACTTGACGTCTTTCCTCGGGGATGTCCTTGAGTATGGCGTTTGCATTGGCTGACCATTTGCTAAGAGGAAATCCGCCCGCCGTGCAGAGGCCGATCAGCTCGTCGCGGAGAGCCTGCGCCTCGTCCAGGGTGTCGGTTCCCGTCAGGATGTCGTCCACGTATGCGTCCTGCCGCAGCGCTGCCGCAGCGCGAGGAAATCGCTCTCCTTCATCCTTCGCCAGCTGCCGGATTGTGCGTATCGCGAGGAATGGCGCGCAGGTCAGGCCGTAGGTGACCGTCTGCAGTTGGTATTCCTGCAGCTCAGCGTCAGCCGTCGGCCGCCATATTATCCTCTGCAGATCTCGATCGTCGGGATGCACCAAGATCTGGCGGTACATCTTCTCGATGTCAGCGGCCAGCACGAATTGATGCCTCCTCCATCTCAGGAGCACATCACTCAGCGCTGGAAGCAGATTGGGACCCGCGAAGAGGTGAGCATTAAGCGAGTCACCGGAATTGAGGCGCGATGACCCGTTGAACACTACTCTGATTCTTTTCTCTGGTGCAGCTTCCTTGAGTACGCCGTGATGCGGGAGATAGCATGTGCGCGCGCGCTCGACCTCCGACGGCGGGGAGACTGCTAGCATGTGGCCGAGCGTCTCATACTCTCGCATGAAGGTGCAGTAGAGCCGATGCAAGTCCGGGTCTTTCGCAAACCGGTGTTCCATGCAGCGAACCAGCCATGCGGCCGTGCGCTGCGTCTCGCCGAAGTCTGGCAGCGTCGTGGTAGTCGGGAGGCGCACGACGTACCGTCCCTCAGGCGTGCGGCGGAGCGATGAGACATAGAATGTCTCGCAGCGTTGCTCGTCCTCCGTGAGCGGCGTGGAACTGGTCGGTGGTTCTTCCTGGCTCCAGAATTGACGCACCAGTCCCACGAGGTCCTCGTCTACTTGGCAGTGATGGGATGATGCCTCCCCGGACCTTGCTGCGCCGTCGACTTCGCCCAGGAGAATCCACCCGAATGCCGTGCGCTGAGCCATTGGAGCGCCGGGGCCGCCTTTGCGTACTTCTCCTTCCATTATTGCGGAATACTCCTTCACCCCCAGCAGCAGCTCCACTGGGTCGCTCGCTCCATAGTCTGGGTCGGCGAGACACAGATCCTGGACGTGGGGCCAACTCTGAGTCGTGGCCGGCACGCAGGTGTTGCTCGCAGTAATGCGGGGGAGGATCAATGCGGAAATTCGCATTGCAAAGTCGGAGTTGCGCGACTTCAGCTCAAGGGGCGTGCCCCGCAGCCTGCCGCTTCGCCGCCCGATGACACCGGAGATGGACATAGAAGTGGCGCGACGAGGGAGATGCAGTCGCTGCACCAGCGCCTCGTGGACGAGCGACACCTCAGATCCCGGGTCGATGAGCGCACGGACTGCTTGTAGCTCGCCATGTCTGTTCTTGACGTGTATGCGTGCGGTGGCCAGGAGGCCAGCGGCACTATCTTCTTCGTGGTGGTAACTCACGTGTAGCGATGTCGCGATAGCTCCACTGGCTGCCGACGTTGTTGAACAGGCTTCGTGAAGCGTGGAGTGATGCCTCGCGTTGCAGACCATGCAGTTCTTCGCAGATCGGCACTCGGCTACAGGATGCTTGCCAAGGCAGTTCAGGCAGAGGCTGTTTTTCTCCACGCACTCCTTCCTCTGCGCCGGCAGCCTCTTGCGGAACTCAATGCACAGGAGGATGAAGTGATCCTTTTGACATAGTGGGCACCGACCTCCTTTCTGCTGCTTCTGCGCCAGGTTGGCGCGCGCCGACCTTGAAGACGCGCTCGCCGACCTGGAGGCAGAAACGGATGCGGGCTCCTGCTTCGCAGGATGCAACGCTTCTAAAGCTCGCAGGCGGCTCTCGAGGAACGCTCTCAGCTCATCATACGAAGGCGGATCTCGTGAATCGCAGATTGTGTCCTCCCACTCGCGTCTGGATCGAGGATCTAGCATCTCGATCACTGTGTGGACGAAGTGGTCGTTGTCGTATGCTGCCTTGCGACCGATGCTTTCCAACGTGCCAGCCGTCTGCAGTATGCAGTTGACCAGCTTCTTCAAGTCGGCGACGGACTCATTCTTCATTTTAGGCGTTGCGGAGAACGACGAGAGGCACGAGCGCACAAGGACTCGCCTGTTTTCGAACCGATCCTCGAGGATTGCCCATGCTCGTCGGAAATTGCCTTCCGTTGTCGGCAAATTGCGAATTCGATCTTCGGCTTCACCTTGCACTCTTGTTTTCAGGTAGTGCAATTTCTCCACATCTGCCAGCGAAGGATGGCGATCCAGCATCGACAGGAACAGGTCCCTGAACGCTGGCCAATCCTCAATGCGACCGGAGAAATGTGGAAGCTCGATGTTGGGCAGCTTCCGCTGCGACGCGGGCTCCGAAGCTGCTATCATCTTTCGCTCCGCTCCGCTCTCCGGCTTGGAGCGAAGGGAATGCAGCAAATCCAGCAGAGTTGAGCGCTGGTCCATCACCCTGTCTTCGACCGTGACAATCCAGCTCGACTTGAAGTAGTCGTGGTCAGCGAGCACCTTCTTATGTTTGGAGCGCAGCTCTTCGTGATTGAGCTGGAACTTATCCCAGTTTGCCTCCAGAGTCTGGAGTCGCGACTCCACACTGCCGATTGAGATTTTTGACGCTCCTAACTTTTTCAGGTTTTCTTCGGCGCGGGCTATGCGACCGTACAGCTCGGACTGAGCGTCAAGGACACTTTCGGCGTCGAGGCTCATTGCGCGAGTTAAGTCAACGTCACGCCCTTCGCACCAGGATTACCGTCACCGCGACACTCGTGTTCACTCACCACTCGCTCGGATGTGCACGATCCGGCTCGAAGGACCAAAATGTTTAGAGTGAGGTGGAACGAACACCAGAATATTATAAAGAATAAAGAAATGTTCAAAATATACTGTTCACAAAAAGTGTTTAATGAAATAAAACAAAGCACAAAAAGAATATATATATATATGAAGTAATTAGACACAAAAAAAAATAGAAAGTAATTGATGCAGTAAATCTTATTAACTGCACGTTGCAGCGGTGCGATATTGGCGAGAATACTAAGTGCAATTTTGGCGCGAACTCGAAGCTATATTTTTGGCACGACTCGAAGCTGCGGCGTACTTAGAGGCACTGAGGGTGCGACTTCAAGAGCGTGGTGTGTCTTTAGGTTTCGGCGGACCTTGGGAGAAAAAAGAAAAACACGTCAGTTCTCTCGGGGAAAATAATGGTCTCTCTCGATTTCGCTCGGCGATGTTGTTAGGCGGCAACGATGCCCTTGGTCGAAGACAAGAGGCGCGTTTTGTTATGATTCGCAAATTTATTTTTCGCCGCTGTTTGGCTCTCGACAGATTTGCAGAGTTTTGACCATCTCGCAAAAACACAAACAGCGCGGACTGCGTGATCATTTCAACACAACAATTTAGTTAAAATATTTACAAAATAATTACTATAAATATTTATCTTTACATACCATAAATATGATATTAATCTATGTTTTAATAATATAATAATAAAGTTTTTATAAGACATTTTCAAAATATTTATATAATATTTGAAAATATATATTCATAATATTTATGAATTTTTATCATAATATTATGTGCTGTCTGGGATAGAATTTATTATTTTGGATTTAAAAGGAGATTTTAAACAAATGGTAAATGTTGCGTTGAATAAGATATGGTTGTGACCTTGATATATGTTGTCAAGATCACTGTTTTGAGTAACATCCAAAAGATTTAGCTGTCGCTCATTGCTTATTAAAAAGTTATTAGAAAAGTTAAAAATTAAATGTAATTTTTCACTATGTATATTTCAAAGAGAATAGCTTACTAGATTTAATTGTTTGTGTGTAGTAAATTGAACGCATGGGCAGGAGGGCTATGACATGACTCCTCTCCTATATTTCTCTCGACGTCCAACAAATATAATCTAACATAACCAATGTCCTACGTCCGAAGCATTAATTTTTATTAATAATAATCATCGCTGGAAGGCTCATCTTGGACGCCTCTACGCAAAGACGTGCCTTTTGAGTGCTTCCGCCAGACTTTATC